ATCAAGCGAAGAATAATCCTAGCAAACAAATGGTATTTTGGATTGAGTAGACAGATGAAAAGCAGAAGCTTAAGCCAAAAAACAAAAATAACCATATACAAAACCCTTATACAACCAGTGTTGACATATGGATCGGAGACATGGACCATTTCCAAGATGCAAACCTCCTGCTTATATATGAACGAAGGAAGGAGAGAAGAATATTCGGTAGCATTTGTGAAAATGGTATTTGGAGAAGGAGTTACAACTACGAGATATATCACAGATATAAACATATATTTGGTGGTAAAGACGTAGAATCTCTTATAAAAATAGGAAGACTAAGATGGAGAGGACATCTTGCCAGATCACAGCAGAAAAACCCTCCTAAAAGTATCCTTATGTCACAACCTGTAGGAAGTAGATGTAGGGATAGGCCAAAACTCAGATGGAGGGATGATGTAGATGAGGATGGTGGAAAAATAGGCGCAGCAAACTGGCAACAGTTGGCAATGGATATAACTGACTGGCGTAATAGACTTGAGAAGGTCGAGGCTCTTTTATAGGACTGTAGCACCAATGATGATGATAATTATACTAGTTCTAAACATCTGATTTACAACGGCACTAAGATGCCCACTTCTTTTAACACTTTTATAGTAGAACAGGAAATATTCCATCCTCCTCTAGATATTTAAGTGGAGCAAAGTGGCTTATAGCTAGCTCTCTTTAAATGCTCGGTTTTGACGTTCATTGCAGATAATATAGTCTTCTTTCTTAGGACGTTTAGGTTGGGTCGTTCTAGGTTTTCAGCTTGAGTCTGCTCATCAATAATTGTTGATCCTAGTCCCTTGAACAAGGAGTTCCCCAACAGTCTATATTATGACTCACAGGGTGGTCACCTTGATTTGGGATTTTTTTTTGGCTTGGTAGAAGAAAACTGATCAACTTTTTATTTGCTATCTCAATATAAGCATTATTTTTCAAGTTAAGCATAATGATATTTTGTTAGAGTTATCCTGGATTGTTTTTACTGGTGTGAACTTTGTTAGAGTTGTTCTTTGCGGTAGCTTTATTATTTGCTTTAGGCACATGTGTATATTTTAGACCATAATCGTCATTTCTACAGTTTCTGAGATATTATATTCCTATCATTTCCTTAGCTCTGTCCAAACATAATTTTTACAAAATTACAAAACAAACGAGTTTCTGAGCTGAGAAACGGTAGTATTTTTTTTCTTTCCATATTTACAACATTATATCCGATAACTATGTCACTTTACATCCGCACAATGCCATTTTCATTCATTAAAGATAATTTAACGTAATTTGTCCGGTCTATAATACTATTCATTATATGTGCGGAATTCGCTGTAAGGAGAGCGGAGAAAGGGGAAAGACCGGCATTTAAAAATAACGCGGCGCCATTACACACAACTGACAAAACAACTGCCTACTATAATTAGTTGGTAAACAAGGATCAGCTGAGCGTTCCGAGAATACGACGCCGATTTACAAACAGCGAAATTCGAGCCAAAATGTAAGTTTCCAACTTTCTTTTCTGAGTCATCGTCACCTGAGACGAGGCGGAAGCACGAAATTACATCAAACGGAAGATAATTTTAAAATAAAAGGCTACTGGTGAATGCTAATCATGTGTTTTATTTATGTAATAGTATTTTATTATTCAAACTCATGTATAAGATATTCATTATAAGCACAATAAGGCATTCTTTCAGTCATCAATCATCATTATAAAATAAAATAGTGTCACATTAAAAAAGGAAGATATAGTTAAATGTAATGAGTGCAAAATAAGACTGTAAGTGAAAAACAGAAGTTGATTGTGCTGGACTGGACATAGAAATAAGAAGTAAAACGTAACGAAAAATAGAAGAGGTTCACAAAAATCAAATGGTGAATGTTAGAAGATAAGGAATGTTTATTCAGGGCAAAAAATAGAAAAATGAGCTCGAACAGGACGGGAAGTTATAATATAATTTAAAAACAATATTATTAGAGATAGTTTGAAAGTAAAGAAACTTGTAATGGTCAAACGAACTTTAAGACTGGCAAGAAAAATGGGTTGGGCACAGATATTCAAAACTATCATGTCGCCAAAAAGGAAGCAAAATAGGAATTGCTAGACTAGAAGCAGATGCTTACAAAAATCTATAATATCAACTTAATACCACATCAATGGTCATGACCATATTAGGATGGTAGGTCATCCATCCATCAATTAATAGAGAACCGGCATGTAAGTAATGTCTGTTTTGTTTTATTTATCTGCTCATTTATTAATTTATTACAATATAATATTACTACTTTATACCAATTGTGGGTCTTACCTTGTCTGTTAATACCTTTTATATATTCAAATTTATTCATTTTGAAAACCACAGACATGTAATATTGGCATAATTACTATAATTTGTATGAACTAACTTATTTATTTATTTTATCTTTATTAGACACCACCCTAATTGGGTTTATTTTATTGTAGCATTAGTTTAACTTTGTATCTGGACCTGAGGATGCTTTGCAAATTGTAGAAAGCGAAACCGGTCGTCAGATTGTTAAACTAAATTGATTGTGAGTAAGTCTTATTATTATTTCTTTACCTATTTGATATGGACTCACACAAGCAACACATTCATGATTTTAATAAAATTATATTATTTTCAAATCCCGCAAAGGACGAATTCGACATTTTTCTCCCTGTGTTGCGCTAAAAACTCCAACGACACATCAGCTTCTGTGTTGAATACTCACTGTTAGATATTCTCACAAGATAATAACATTCTTCACTGCACTGCATTGAAATAATCGATTGTTCCTTTGCATAGTAATTTTTATCCTTGATTTCCGGTATCCTAACTCCGAGATTTAAAAAAACCAGACTATTGTCTGCGCTCAACAGGTGGGTTAGTTTGGGTTTGGTCATTCATGCCGCCGATGTTGTACACATTATTTGACACATCGTACGATTTTGTATACCATCGTAATGAATTGACAGGAATTGTATCACTTTAAAAACCATAATTGAGTATACATATATAATTCCATCGAAGTGACTTGTGGTCGGTCTATGGGACGTTCTATGTTGTGTTAAGTTTCCATCGCTCTGGCCCAATTCGGGATCAGATCAAATTTTCACTATAAAAAGACAGATATTACGTATCACTTTTAATACAAACTTGTAACTTGTTTACAATTGAGATAGGTCACAGCTTGAGGCCTCCTGTCAACAATTTTTTTCTCAATTAACTGTTGATTGAAAATAGAAAGCTTTTAAATATAGGTCTTCAAGGTCTGTTTACACTAACAATAACATGAAACAAAACATATGTTTAGTAATTATTATACTATTATCACATTCCCGGTATTCACCTAATTTGAATGAAACGCAATTTTCGGATTGAAATTTTGAGAAGTTTTTGAAAAAATGAAGTTTTCGTTAAGATAAACGAATTTACTAACTTTTAAATAACTTAAGCTTTTGTATAAGCTAAGGGTGTTGTTTGCTACCGGCACCACTTTTGCCTTCTATTATCCGCAACAGTATTGTTATTACTGTTATACAATTGTAACTTCTTGTTTATCTCTCAAAATGTGACCAAGGTATGAGACATTGCGTTGTTTTTAGTTTCAGCCCGATGTACTTAATTCTTGATTTGCGTACATTTAAAAAGGCTCTGTGCGGTTCTGAAATCTTAGTTTCATTGGCCATGTGAAACGATCTATAATTTCTCTTTATGTTTAGGCCCAAATGTTTGCCAGTGTCATTTATTTTGGTTAAAAGATCGTAGAAGCTCTATATGTTATCCGCCAGTATGAATTATTGGTATTTCCTTTACTCTTGTATAACGAGTGTGCTTCCTTACAGCTGGTTTGGAGATTTTATATACACTTTCCGGACACATTTTGTTGAGAAAACAGAATCCCCAGATTAAAAAGCGGATCTTAATTTAGAGAATGAAGAATAGTGTTTGTAGAATAGCATATAAGAAAAAAGTGTATTACGTAATCAGAAAAGGTATAAGGTATCAAATAAATTTTATAAATAAACTGTTTATGTTCGCAATCACACATTTCAATATCCTGGACTCGTCTTTATAAAATGAGGTCAAAACAAAATTACATTCCTTCCTACGCACTTCATAAAACTCCAAAACTCTGTAATAAAGGAGTAGTTAATAAATCATAAACTTTATTTTAAGTTTTACATTTAATGCCGGGTTGCTGTCAACTAGTTCAAAATAATTATTTCATTACTGAATAGAACAAAATGTTTAATAAAATACTATCACTACTCGCACCATTCGATCCCTACGGATTAAATCTTTTCTGAGGCTTCTATGTTTTGAATAAAATTGTGTTTGGGCTGATTTCGTTTTTCTCCTATCTCCTATTTCTGCATTTGTATTTTTCATTGTTTTATATTCAAGCGTTCTATGGCGTTTTCCATGTCATCCGACCGTCTTGTTCTCGGTCTCCCTTGACAACTCCGTTGGATTGGTGTTCATCTCGAGCTTTTTTTGATCATCCCGTTTGCCGGTCTTCTGATGATGTGTCTGATCTATTTCAAGCGTTGTGATTTAATTACTTTCACTTTGTTAAATATTATGTTTATGTTGGGTTCAGCAACGATTGATTGTAATGACAATTACATTTCCACTCCTGAAACAAGTTTTTAGTAGGTTATGTATTTTTAAATTAATGGTTGGTCCCGATCTTATCGGCAATAACCTGCTTTTAGTAGAAAAAAATCTGAGGGTGGTGTTTCGATCCTCGGAATATCAAATTCTGAGTGGTTTGTGTGTTTTATTTGTTTGTATAATGTGTTTAACGTAGATTATATGTGTGTATTGTGTGTTGAATATGTATTGTGTATAATTGTAGATGATTCCTGCGACTTCCTTTAATCCGCTATTGTTGATTTCTTCTTTTAGTATTTATTGGCAACCAGATATTGCTACATTCAGCTGATGGATTTGCTACACAATTTTCTTCATTAAGTAGGATGAGAGCTGCTTCTCCGATTTTACTCTTTTTCATGTCTTTTTCTTTCCCAGTGTGATTCTTCCCCAGTTGTATTCTTCTTCTTCTTCTTCAGCCTGTATTCGTCCACTGCTGAACATAGGCCTCTTCCATTTGCTTTCATTGATTTCTACTCTTCACAATTCGCATCCACTGCTTGCCCACTCTTCTGTGGTCTGTCTACTCCTCGCCTGTTCTCTCTTGGTCTCCAGTTTGTTAATCTCTGTGTCCATTTTTCGGGATTATCTCGAGCAACATGTCCGACCCATTGCCACTGGAGTCTTGCTATACGTTCTGCGACAACAGTAATGTTTGTTCTTTGCCGAATGTCGATATTTCGCATCCTGTCTCTCAAACTGATCCCTAGCATAGCCCTCTCCATCACTCCTTGGGTGTACTGAGCTGCTCTAAGGTTTTCTTTGCAAAGGCCATGGTCTTCAGTCCATATGTAGTTACAGGCAAGATACATTTGTCATAAACTCTACGTTTTAGGAAGAAAGGGGAACCTTATTAAAAGTCCGTTTTCCATTCTTTTAGAAACTTTTCTTATCTTCAGTCTCTCCGCAAGAGAGGTTTAATCTGTTGAGCTTGGGCACGCTTTTAACAACTCTGGTGGAACGTTGTGTTAATTCTTAGTTTGTTAGCATTGGAGTTTATATTTTTTGCGTCTTCTGGCAGTGCTGGAACTGCACAGAGACTCACGGAAATAATAACGCAATTTTCTGTCGCATTCTTCCTGTATTTTCACCTGTATTGCTTTTTACAATTGGTTGGTGGATGTCATATCTTGTGTTGGCTAGTTTTTAGTGATTTTTTGATCACTTTCCTTGCTGCCTTCTTGACAACTTTATTCGCTTACCTATAACTAGTTTCTTCTCTGCTTCTGTTCTGGAATTTAGCAGTCCTTGATTAATGCGTTTGCGATGTTCTATTCTTTTCCATGTTTCTCTGGCGATCCACTATTTTTTACGTATTTCTTTAAGCCCAAGATGTTTTCACTTTTTTCCACAAAAGCATTGCTAATTTTTCCCCAATTTTTGTGCTCCTTTCGTCTATTTTGGCCCAAAGTTCTCGTATGAATTCTAATTGCATCTCGTTTTGTTGTAGTTTTTCAACGTTTAACTTCTTTCATATAGGTTTACGCGGTTCTTTCCTATTCCTAGCTATTCTGAATCAAATTTCGGTTATCGCATCAGCTAGTACTCTCTGGCCGCATCTACGCCTCTCCATGATCTGACTTCTAAGACAGATATTCTCCATTCTTTACTTATTGCGATTATCTTAGGGTCTTTTGTTCTGGTGGGGCTTCAAGACATTCCTAGAATACCTCTTTTTTTTCTCTCGGCTTCTTCTATTCTCTTTTTCCACAGTTGTTTGTTCGGCTGTTCGGCGAGTTTTTTGTTGCTTTACTACGAAAGACGACTTCTACTCCATTTTCATGTCCATCCCGATCTATTTTACCAGAGTATATTAGCAGATTGCCTTCCGTGTTTCCTCATTCCATTCCACCATGTCTCATTGAGACTGAAGGTTGGTTTCCTGCTATTTTGTAATTTATTTTATATTGTTTTTTGAATTACATCCATTTGATTTTTTCTTCGTTTGGATATTGATTTCGGTATTTATGAGGATATATTTCCTGGACGACTTTATACAGAAGCAGCTTATTTGATTACACGAAATAGTCAACTCTAACACAAGGTTAGATTTTATATTTGATAAGTAATGATAGTATGGCATTGTTCTTTATTATTACCTCATATTCCAGCATGTATATATTTATTACAGCAAAACCCCTTATTAGTTATTGCATAAATAATAAAACAAGTAACAAAACGCCAAATATTTTTTTTATATTATAATTTGGTATTTCGAATGACACATCTGAAAGGAGAAAACTTTTTGTAACTTTAAAAACTTTCATAACTAAATAACTTCAGTAAACAAAGATAAAAATAAATTGATTTAAAAAATCAATGACCTGTAACGGAATATTTCCAGAAACCATAAGTGGCATTTAAACCGCGAAAATACTAATTATTACCCATCACTCAGTAAAACAAAGAACTATAAACAATCGGCCGAGTTATGGCGACATCGGAGCCCCCACACGGCGATACACCAAGCTTCTCTTAGTCTTAGCGAGCATTTAAAACCCGCCACAATCGAAAAATACCAAAATGACGTGAGAAGAGAAGAAAGAGAAGAAACCAACTATGCAGATTTTTATCTGGTGTCTTCGGATGGGAATGGCCGTTGGAATTCCTAACCTGTTCCCACGCGTATGCTCATAAACGCGCCAGAACTACCAAGATATTATATCGGCAGTAAATACATTAAAATGTTAATTTGAATGTAGTTAAATGAATAGTAGAAAAATTTTCCTTTTACAACAATAATAAATACTAAAATTGCAAGGCACATAATAACCAATAAAATTAAACAAAAATAACGGTTTTAAGATGTAAGTACTACAATTGACATATATAATCACTATTATAAGAATATATTACCAATCTATTGCGTTAACACGCAGAAAAAATGACTGTATGCAGAGCTCCCTACAGAAATCCAAAAATGGGACATGTTGCGATAAATATCTCAGCGATGTGAATAGTTCCGAACTTTCGTCACCATAATCTACAGATTCATCTTCAGACCATGTCAATTTTAGACACTTACCGTATTGTTACAAAATTTACTTATGGATATGGGTTGTCAGTTAAGAACCTATTTTCAAACAATATATGCGCACACAACACATCTATTTAAGGAACAAACAAGTATCAGAACAGATGCTCTTCGAAACGAAGATTTTCCTACTTGCTATTCAGAATCAGGAAATTCCAACACAAAACTAACGGTAACATATCGAAAAACAGCCTTAAGTGTAGAATAAAAAATGCCGATATGGATACCCAAGAAACCATCCAACATCTTACTAGTGGGTGTCAGGCATTGTTCACAATTGATTATTTATAAGGGATAGCAAATGATATATCAAGAGCTAGCAAACAAATTGAGACGTTTCCAATTCAGCATATCCCTATTATAAATACATCCCTAATAGTATGCTTGAAAATTACAACTACCTACACTATTGAGAAATGGAAACATTGAAGAAAGATGGAACCTTTCAAAATCAAAAACAACCAAGATCTAAGAAGAACACATTACATTCATGAAAACGACAGGAAGAAAGAATGGATACCGCGAGAAATCATGGAGTTATGAATGAGAGGCGGGAAAAACGTAGGGAAGAAAAAAAAGTAAATCAAGAAGAGCAGGGATCATGGAACTTTGGGTAGTAGAAAGAAAACTAGAAGGCCAAAGAATAAGAGAAAGATATCCAACGCAATGAGCAGACCAAATGAAGACTGGTGGGAAAATCCCTACATGAAGCCGTCCATATCACACAGAATCGCAGCCAATAGAGGGAGCAAACCAATAATATTTGCCACTGTATTATACGTATTCCTTCGATTTTACCCTTCTTAATCATCTGCAATAACTCGTACTTCTCATTTCTCATAATCTCAAATAAGCTGTATTTTCTTTTTAATGGTGGTCAATAGGTCTATGTCTATTCCCATTCTGTGTGAGACCATTTTGTTCGTAATATGGTTGGTCATTGGCATTTTTAAAATTCTTCTAAAAAGGCACATCTCAAAAGCTTCCAGCTTTCTCATTAAGTCAATATTAACAGTCCCAGCATCGGCACCATAAATAAGAATAGAGTTGAATATGACATTTTACCATCCGATATCGGATTTGCAGAATGTCTTTGGTTACTCAGAAATTGCCTTATCTTTAAAAAGGCTTAAAAGGATTAAAAATCGAATTTCAGATTTAGATATTCAGTAATCCAGACTCCAAGTCCTTTATTTTGTCCAGTGGTTCAATATCTTCATTTTTTATCTGGATCCTTGTTATGACTTTAATTCTCTTATTGATAACCATGGTTTTTATTTTCATTAAGTTTATTGTTAAACTAAACTGTTGCCCACTATCACAAATATTGTTTAGTAGCATCCGAAGGTCTTTCTTACTTTCAGCGATATTGACTGGTATAACTAATGGTATTTATAATTTCACCATTTATCTTGATCCCTTCTATTCTGTACAGTTTTTAAATTCTTGTGTAAAAAGCTCTTTGGAGTATATATTAAATAGTAATGGTGAAAGGACACAGCATTGTCGCACACCTCTACTTATCTATTGAGCATTCATGCTATATCCATTTAATGTTCCAGTCTGTTGGTTCCAATAGAAATTTCTCACTACGTTAATATCACAGTTAACATCTACAAAAAAGTAAAAGAATTGACATACATTGAAAAGAAAGAAAGAAATAATAATAACCTAAGAAAATAATTTCACCCCTCGCAATTAACCGAAGAAGACAAACAGGTCTTATTGATACTAATAATCTGCATATTAAATTCAACGAGAAAATCGCCAAATACCTTAGGATGCAACTAGATATTTTTGTTATGTTGGGTTAATACGTGGAAGTTGTTTTTTCTTGCCGTTTTTGTAGTATTTTCTCACAATGAGTCTTTACTTGCCATCAGTGCCTCACTATTACTGAATACATTTGTAGAATATTTGTTCATTATCCACTAAATTACAGATTTTCGAAACAAAAGTTGAACTCCTCAAGCTACGTCGCTGGTAACGAAGATAGTGGTCGTAAGTGAAAGAGTTAGCAATTCCGTGGAATGGATATCGGGTCGCATGGTTGCAGCAGTCATTGGTGTCACAAAAGCCGATTCTTCAATTCGCATACCACTGCTGTTACGTCACACAACATTCCACTCAAATGTAACGAGATTTTTCTTTTTTATCGATGGTAGCTGTATCTTTTTGTTGCTATTTTGTCGACTTGCACGCTTGCTGTTGTGGTCGGTAGATTTATTTGTGAATGAAACAAGAAATAAGGAAAAGAAGTAAGTAGGTATATGGAGTATGGAATACAAACATTTCGTTTCCTTCAGTCAGGTCGTTACATTCTCTTGAGTCGAATGGATATTTCGTTAATTTTTACGTTTAGCATGTAATGTAATGAAAGCGTAGAATTTAAAAGTCACTTTTGTGTGTTGTTTTGTTTAAAAAAAACTTTTCATATGAGATTATAAATTCATTATTTATTGTTTAACACTGTAATACCTACCAAACGAAGGAATGTGTATTAATACAAGTTGTAGTACATACTATTCCCTTAATACCCTAATTTCTATTCTCTATTCCCTATAACAACTACTTAATCAGTTGAACCATTTGAAAAGTTTTCATACTCAGAAAGCATCATTGGAGAAAATTGCGCTATCTTGAAATATGCGAAAAGTATGAAAGGACAATTAATTAATAGTTAAATACCATGCTTAGGAATATGGGAATAAAGCCACAATTGATTGTATTGACAATTACATTTTCATCATCACCATCATTGGCTCGACAATCCGTTGTGGATCTTGG